ATTTTAATAACAATGTGTTATATTGTAAATAAAATTCAACAGCAATATTGGTATCCGCTGTTCGATAGAAATAAAGATGACTAAAAAACTGTTCTTTGTTTTAACTTATTGTTTTACTTTCTTAAAAGAAATATAGATACTAGACAGATTGGCTAACAATGTCAGTTATTGCACTGCACTTTAATAACAATGGTCATTTTTAAGTCAATTATTACATTCATTCAACTAATGGTTACAAAATGATAAGCCACATTTTTAAGTACTTGTTTTTTAATTCTACAAACAATAACTTTACACGTTCTCTTTAGAATTTTTTTAATCCATAGAAATTTGAGAATTTTATAAAATTAAATTCATTCTATAATTACAGTTCCGTGGATTTGTGCTCATTATTTTGTAAATAAATCGCATAAAAAGTAAGTTGTAGGTCAATTATTGCATTTATTCAACCGAAAAGCTTGAGACGATATAACGATAAGCCACAACTGCAAATAGATCAGGAGTGCGCTTTGGGGGGGGGGACCGCGGTTTTTAAGTGCAATCGATAAGATCTTTCTATATATTAGTAAGCTTGTTATCATGTGGAAATTCTGGAAAATTGTTAAGTACATATTTGAAAACATTACTAAGGATTAGTTTGAGGTAAAAATGCCATCTTTTAACACTTGAATGCCATGGGGGTCACCGGTGACCGGTGAAGCCTAGATTATTTGAAACATATAATTCGAGTAAATGTTTAATGCTTTTATTTTTTTTTTATATTATTATCGTTACTAAAATGGTTTGAAGAAATTAATGCAATATAGAACACACAAAAATCATTTTGGCTCGACGGGCAAGCTATGTCAAATCAGCGTGGCATTCAACGTGTTAAAAAAAGTATGGCTTATCACTATATTACCCGAAGTCCTTAAATTATGATGACATATTCAGGTTCTATTCAAATGCTTTGCAAAAAAAACTAAATTTGGTTTCTTTTAAAAGAGAGAATTTTTTTTAAATAACTAAACTTTCAATTAATTACATAAAATTAGTTTAAATGTAACTGAATAAAAAATAGAAAATTTTCCCAAAATAATCTTTTTAATCTTGAGTTTAATTGCTAATGGGAGACCGGGATACTTTAAATGATTAAATGTGATACGTAATGTTTATGTTTCATTGCTCTTCTGCTAAAATGCAATAGTAAAATAATTTATATGAGTTAATTTAAAGTTAAGTCTTAATATCTCTAAAAATTCTTGAGATATATGCAAACCATCATTTCTATATTCAGAAAGTTTTCAAAATTATTCAAAAAATGCAATTATAGAACAAATTAAGATCAAAAGTTTCGCTGTTCTTATTAATATTTTTAATTATGCTTTCGTAAGATAAATTATAATTAAATATATATAAATAAATTAAGTATAAATAAATTATGCTAATTATTCGGCAAGTATAAATAAATTATGCTTGCGATAATCAAAAACATGAATGGGAATGAGGTGCCTTTCTGAATTTTGAATTTTATATTTTATGTTTGCTATTATCAGCGTAAAGAAATTTTTATTGTATATACGCGGTATGTTTTTACTGGTTCTAATATTTTCAAACTTCAATGCTTAAATAAAAGAGCATAGTTAAAAAAATTCTGAAAAAGATTAAAAATTCATTTAAAATTATTTTTATTTTATTTACTGATGGATCTTCTGACTCTACTTTCACCAGAGAGGTGCGGGAGTGGTACTGCTCCTACCTGATGATCATAAACGAGAGATCGCAACTGGTGCTGGAAAACTCGCATCTAATTTTATGGCAGAATTGATAGCCATTTCTACGGCAATCAAAACGTACATCAATCTTGAACCGCTTTGCGGTATCACCATCTTCAGCGACTGCAGGTCTGCCTTACAGGCTCTCAGCAAAGGTACTTCAAGTCTAATCCTGAATATCATAGAACAACTTGGACAACTTCAGCGTCTCCGGAAAAAATGCTTCTTGCAGTGGATTCCCGCCCATGTGAACCTAGAGTTCAATGAAATAGCTGATTCCTTGGCTAAAAATGTCAGAGATCTCAATCAAAATACAATCCCAACCACGTTGGCAAATGCAAATGCTTTTGCAAAGTCAGGACTATTCATCCCTTTAAAAATCAAAGCCCACGATCAAATAACCAATCTTGACATCGATAGGAAGACAACCACTACTCTCATCAGACTAAGAACAAAACATCATAAAAACATGAAAATTTCTACAGATGGGACTAGAAAATATCGAAACTGTGGCAACTGTCTTAATGTGGAACTGACACCATATCATGTTTTTAACTGCCCTGCAGTCGCTGCAGGTCTTCACCTCTTAAACTACCCCACAGAAGAGGATTTGTATTCTTTTAATGCCATAGAAATAACAAAAACTATTCTTGCGCACCATGAAATGTGATTCAATAGAGGATACGACACCAACCAACCAACCAACTGCAATTTGATCTGCTTAAAACTTTATTGTGTATAAAAAAAAATGACAAAAAGTATTCAATTCTTGTTTTTAATTAAATCATAAGAAGTTAAACATACCTTTACTATTTATCTACACAAGCGTAACAAGCCAATTTGATATTTTTAGTCCTCTTCCCAATATTTTCAAATATTTTTGAATAAAAAAATATATTACCTAAAATTTTTAATACTCTCCTTAAAATTTTTATTAATTCAATTGAGAAAAAAACATGATCATTTTATTATTTAAATTATACAAATATTGTAAATTAGTTACAGTCAATAAATGACATTAAATAATTCTAAAATGTAAGATTTTTCATCTATACAGACAAGCAAAAAAAAAAAACTTATTCCTTAACACTTTACTAATACAAAATTTTTGCAATAAATATTTATATTAAACTCTTTATAACGATGCAAATGTAAATGTTTAAAGCATTTTTATATTAAAATGTAAATACGTATACATATTATATGTATACGTATACATAATAAATGTAATGCGTATACGTATTGAAAATCTTCTGCTATTCTTTTTTATCATGTTAGCATGATTAAGGAGGAAAAATGAATATTTTTAATTGTTTATAATATAAATTAATAGGTGAAAAAATTCTCATGATTTTACGTTATGATGGTTTAAAAGCTTTTGATTAAGGACGTAAATTATTATCTAACCTTTTGTTTTAAATAAACGAAAAAAAACCTGTTTAAATATTTAAAAAAAACGAGTTTTTCGTTGTTTTTATTAACCCTGAAAATTAGATGACATTGATGTGGTTCTGAATTTTACAGCTTAACATGAAACGTAAAAATTATCTTATGAAACATATCTTTTTCTAAAAAATCTTAAAATTCAATGCAATTACAAGAGCTTTATTATGTGTAAAATTTGCTAGATTCTCAGATTTTAGGTATAATTTATTTATGATGACCATAATGCATAGGTGCCTCAAATTGATTGGATAATTGGTCTATTTTTGCATATGTTTATTTACAATAGTATTTTTTAGTTGCTTTTATCACTGTGTAAATAAGAATGTCTTTTAGAATTATTCATCGGTATTGATGCAAATTATCATTAGCAACAAATGGAGAATTCAACATTCGGTTTGTATAACAAATTATTTTAATATCAGCGTTTATTTCATTAAATTACATTAGGATTTTTAAAATCGTATAATTTATCTATGATGACCATAATGCATAAGTGCCTTAAATTGATTGGCTAATTGGTCTATTTTTGCGTAGGTTTATTAACAATAGTATTTTTTAGTAGTTTTCATAACTGTGTAATTAAGGATGTCTTTTAGAATTATTTATAGGTATAAATGCAAACTATCGCTTGCTACAAATGGAGAATTCTACATTCAGTTCGCAAAACAAATTATTTTAATATCAGCGTTTATTTAATTAAATTACATTAGGATTTTTAAAATCGTATAATTTATCTATGATGACCATAATGCATAAGTGCCTTAAATTGATTCGACAATTTTTTCTATTTTTTGCATAGGTCTATTTGCAATGGTATTTTTAAGTAATTTTCATAACTGTGTAATTAAGAATGTCTTTTAGAATTATTTATAGGTATAGATGCAAACTATCGCTTGCTACAAATGGAGAATTCTACATTCAGTTCGCAAAACAAATTATTTTAATATCAGCGTTTATTTCATTAAATTACATTAGGATTTTTAAAATCGTATAATTTATCTATGATGACCATAATGCATAAGTGCCTTAAATTGATTGGATAATTGGTCTATTTTTGCGTAGGTTTATTAACAATAGTATTTTTTAGTAGTTTTCATAACTGTGTAATTAAGAATGTCTTTTAGAATTATTTATAGGTATAAATGCAAACTATCGCTTGCTACAAATGGAGAATTCTACATTCAGTTCGCAAAACAAATTATTTTAATATCAGCGTTTATTTAATTAAATTACATTAGGATTTTTAAAATCGTATAATTTATCTATGATGACCATAATGCATAAGTGCCTTAAATTGATTCGACAATTTTTTCTATTTTTTGCATAGGTCTATTTGCAATGGTATTTTTAAGTAATTTTCATAACTGTGTAATTAAGAATGTCTTTTAGAATTATTTATAGGTATAGATGCAAACTATCGCTTGCTACAAATGGAGAATTCTACATTCAGTTCGCAAAACAAATTATTTTAATATCAGCGTTTATTTCATTAAATTACATTAGGATTTTTAAAATCGTATAATTTATCTATGATGACCATAATGCATAAGTGCCTTAAATTGATTGGATAATTGGTCTATTTTTGCATAGGTTTATTTTCAATAGTATTTATTAGTAATTTTTATAACTGTGTAATGTGAATGTCTTTTAGAATTATTTATAGGTATAGATGTAAACTATCGCTTGCTCAAATGGAGAATTCTACATTCAGTTCGTATAACAAATTATTTAATTATGAGCGTTTATTTCATTAAATTAAATTAGGATTTTTAAAAATGCAAAAAAAAATACGGTACTTACGGTCATCATTTTGTAAATATCCAGCTTTGGTTGTTCTAGAACATAAAACTAGGAGGAGTACTCCAATTAGAAAATGCAACAGATAGCTTGTCGCCATCCTGGAAGATGAAAACCTTGAACGAGATATAAGATGAAAATGCCTCGCTTAGAGAGATCGGAAGATAGTGTCCGAAAACTCTAAGAGGTAGGGTTGCTTTCAATTTCTTATCGCCAATACCGAGTGTATTATCGCCAATGATTAAGTCTCTTTAGTTTGGTATAATATTCCGGTATTGAGTTTCAACAGATATAATAATAAATAAAAACAAACAAAGTAATTATACCGTAAAGAATCTAGTTTACTGTAGTTTGAATGCATGAAAAATATTACAAAGTATTTATAAATTGAAAAAAAATTTATAAAAAAGAGTGGTGATTAATTATTGTTAGTCCGTTAAGTTGACCAGCGTCCTAAGAATATTAATAACCTGGTAGTTAAGTTTCCAAAAGAATATTTAAAAACTCATTATTTTACCTTTTCAATTTAACATTCGAAAATGCATGGAAATTTTTTTTTCTTTTTTTTGTAGGAAAAGCGATGAGTTTTCGCACGTTCTTTTAGAAATTCGAATGCCATGCCAGTTTTCCTAGCTTATTAAAACATGTGGCTATTTCTCTCTATTTCCTACCGTTTAAGTTTTATAAGGCTCTTGCATTAACTTAAAATCAAATTTTAATATTAATATTATTTAACGGAATATAAAACTTACTTGATTTGGCAGAATAAATCTTAATAACGGAAGACTTGTACTACCACTTTTGTTTTTTTAAAAATAAGATCAATAAATAAAAAAGAAGTAAACACGGCAGTGTATCAGATTGAAACAATTTGTAACATTCTAACAGATTATTCTATACTATAAGTTTAACTGCCAATCTTTAACTACAATTAAATTACAGTGAATTAAAATTATATATTAGTTAAAACGCATAACAACTTCATTTCCTTAGTTTCTTAAAAAAAATTAATAGTTCTATCCTCACTGAAGAGAAGTAAGTTGTAAAGGTGGAATTCCACTTAAACAGAAGTTAATTTTAAAAAATGACGATAAATCCACGTGCTCGAAAACGTAAGTAATTTTAAATAATATATTATATAATATAGCTATTCGGAAAATAATATTGTTTCTTTGAACTTAGTAATTCTGTGATCTTTACGAAGCTTTAAAATTTATACTTACTTAATAATGAAATATGACAGCGTACTAGTCGAAAGAAATCTCATAGCGTTATTAGTATTTAATCTTATATCTATTTAGTGTTTTTAAGTGTATTTTAATTAACTGTTTTCTGTAAGGTACAATACGCGTACATACTTATAATATCTTTAACTTTTTGTGTTTTTTCTATACTTCTTAAATAATGCCCCTAAGTGTTAAATATTTTTTCATAATTAATGTTAGATTATGCTCAAAAATTATTTTATTTGCTTGGTTTGCATAATTAAAATGATTTTGACTCTGAAATTTATTGCAGTATTGCAATTGTGTTCTTAAATAAAACTTCGTATTTTTATTCAAGATAATTTTCATTTAATTTATTCAGCAGTAAAACGAGTAATATTATTTTCATTTCATTTATTAACAAAAAATTGGGTACCTGGGCCGAGCAGCGGCCCCTATCCCATACATCATGAATTAAAAACATTGTGTGAAAACATTTTGATTTTGCAACATTATGGTATGCAATGATTAGTAATATTATTTCAAACAGTTTCCCCTTAAGGCCTGGTTTCTTAGGACAGGACGCCGTCAGCTGGAAATCAGCGCTAACCTCTGATTGGTCCATTTGTGAGTTTGATAGTATACGTCATCGAACGCTCATCTTTAACTATAGTCCATTCCACCTTAAGTTGGCACTGGAGAGAAAGGTAGGTAGACCGGATTACATGGAAACTGGGTTACTCTTTAAGTCAGTACGGGGATGAGGTAGCAACAAAGGGAGAGAAAGTGGCCAGTATTGGCGTTTAAGAAAGCAAAACGCCGATTTTTTTTTTTAAACCAAGAATCGTACTAAAATTTTGTACAGAATACGGAAAAGAGCACGATTTTTTAGAGCATTTCTCATAATTATTATTTTAAGATACTAGTTGTAAGCTGATTTCTTAATTAGTATTTAAAAAGCAGATTTTCTTATTATGATTTTTTAACTAAACGAAACTAATTTTAAACAGAAAAAAATA